GTGGTCTGGGTCTTCAGGTGAGGGTTTATACAAAGTTCGAACGGGTCTCGAGAGGCTTTACAGTGAGTTCATGTTGGTTGGAAGTTTTTGGCCCATCCCCAAATGGAGATCATACTGGGGGGCGCAGTGCGGGGAAATGGGAACCGCGAGCGCGGACGCATATAGTCATATAGGAGTTTGATATGGATATGTGAGTACAAATATGTAGGGGTATGTAGGGAATGGAAAATGAGTCGAAGTTGCTACCTTATTTATATGTTAAAGCTTCAAATCCGAGCTCAAATGCCTTCAAGTTCAACCCCGAATCCCAAACTTCAGTGTAAACCTTGAACCCTAACCCCTAAACACAAAACCTTCAACTTCAAACCCACACCCCAACCTTTAAATTTTCAAGGTCTATGCACCCCTCACTCAGGTTGTGTTTCTGAGTCGAAGTTGGGCCCTTCTGAGGCAAGGGGGGTCGCGGGTGCCACAGCAGGATTTGGTGGTTTCCCAAAATTAGGGGTACCTACTATAATGGGTTTAGGGTTTAGGGTTTAGGGATATGAGGATAATGGAAAAGAAAATGGAGACTACTATAATGGAGAATCAAATGGAAAAGAAAATGGAAAATGAAATGGAAACTGTGATTATACAGGGGATTATAGGCATTAGGGTTTTTAAAATTAGGGTAATTGTTGGGGCCCCTTTACTGAGGATTATAGTATTTTGGAGTCTATATTGGGGTCCCCTTTTTTTGGGAAACTACCATTTGGTTAGGGACAAGTGGAGGTGTGTCAGGGATTGTTTGATTGGACTCCTTGTTCTCTGATGTGGGGGCGCTGTGATGGAGCGATATTCAGCTTGACTGTGTGCGGCAGTTTTGGATACTCGTTGGTGGTCTTACTCATTGGTTGTTTTGCCCATTTTGGCAGACAAAAATCGATTGAGATTCAATGCGCCGCTAGGCCTCCATGTGTTTTTAAACTTGTGTCAGCCGCAGAAATTCGACTGAGCAACCGCGGTCGTGATCTCGTGCAGGTCATCCAGCAGCTGGAGCGTCTTGGTTCAAGCATGTGTGCAAGAAGGTACTTTCTCAATATGGTCCACACATAATCCCCAACAATGGCCCCAATCATCCTGTTCAACCCTCATGTTACTTGCCTGCCTTAAACCCAACCACAGTTTTTCAGAAGCCCGCTGCGGGACCCCAAAACTGCAGATCGGCGGGGCCTGGAGCATCCTTTGTAAGTCGGGAGGAAGGAGATCGCATAAGTTCTGCTGCCTAGAATCTCCAGTAGGATCCTTACTAGGCCGCAGTTTAGGAGTGGGGGGTTGTGCGAGGGCCTGGTATCCGTGGGAGAGGGGCTTGACGAAGTGAGCATGGCCTGATGCATTCCCTGAAAAAATAAAAGCCCTTAAAAGGAAAGCTAGCAAGACCTCAAACCAAAACCCTGAATCCTGAATTGGGATTTAGAGCTTAAGGTCTAAACCCCAAACCTTAAACCCTAAACCCCAAACAGACTTTGCAGTCGGAAAAATGTCAAAAGAATAAGAGGGGCCCAGGTGGCACGCAGCTTGAGTATGCCCTGGCGCTCCGCTCTGCGGCGGTCTACGTGGCCATTGGTGCGGTCCCCCTGCTTTTCCCATGCTCAGAGCGGTCTGCAAACGCAACTTCATAAAGTCCTTGCAAGGTTTTCTATAGCGGATTATATAGGGTTTAGGGTTCTAAGCTTTAGGATCTAGGGTTTAGAGATCAGGGGTCAGGGTTTAGGGATGACGGTTCAAGAGGGTTCAGGGTTTGGTTCATGCTGGGCCCCAGTGGTTTCAAGCAGTTTTGGGAAGGGAGTCTACCTTAGCAAGAGTCATTCAGCAGTTCTGAGGGCAATCGCCATACAGTCCTTGATGGGCACCATTTGTATTTCCCATACTCTACCTATTTTTTTTTGGGCCCCTAGGGCCAGAAAATGCAGCCGTAGGCAACACGTTTTTTGTCTTTTGGAATTTGCAAATTTTCGCAAACGATGAAGAAAGCATCAATGATTATCGACACTATGCCGCTATGCTTGTAAAATAGTCCTCATGAAGTTCCCGTACTGTATATCTATATCTGCTATAATATTGTATAGCCGCTGAAACCTTTAGCCCTAGCCAACAAACCCACCACACCCCAGGCCTCAAATCCTGAACTCCTGAAGCCTGTCCATGCACCTTACCCTAAGCCTCAAACCCTACAGCAAGTTTGGATGTTACCAGGACCTCGAAAGTAAGTAGAACCCCAGACATTTGTTCCTACTTGGGTGGTCTAACTATACATACACCACCTAACCTAAAGATATTAAAAGTCGGAACCAAGCGTGTGAGGGGTGTGTCTCTCAGGCATCGCTGAAAGGCTGGGACAGATGTCCGGCAAGCTCCTACAGCCTGGTCCCAACAAACATCATGCGAATCTGGGTTGCCACTACATCCAAAACTCCTGAACTTACCTGGTAAATAAATGGCTTCCCAATTTTTGGTAATTTAAATCAAAGATAAAGTGCCAAAAAAGTAATTCAAGGTCCTCAACAGCAATCCAGGAACCTATCATTTTCTGCCCTTCTGGTATTCCTTCTTGGTGACGCCCCACCTTGGCAGCCTTATCAGCGGCATCTATGATGCCATGTCAGGTGCTGCAACAGGTCCGGTAGGGATGCTTAGCCAAAGGTTTTAACCCCAAACCAACCTTCTGAATATGAACCCCCTGGGTAATGCCCCAGACCGTGACCCAATGAAAAAAGCCCTTCATGACAAGTATTCCTCTACCATGAAATCTGCCCATCCATTATTAAGGTGGTGGGGGCCTCCGTCTCTAAGCCCTGATCACTTGACCAGGCCTTTGCATCGCAAGCTTACTGAACTTGATCATGCCGGGCGGCGCAGGCGGCTCTACGTACCTCATGGATGCGTCTAGCCTAGGAATATCAGAGTCAGGTTGCCTGTCATGCAAGGAATAAGTAGGGGATAAATCAGGTGATGTTGGTAGAGCAAACCTTCAACAGATCCTACTGACCTCACAGAACCTGGCACAGTGAATGTTCAGTTTGTTACTTGACTTCTGTACTGGAACGCGCTTGCAGAGTATAGCTAACCTTATCTTAGCCGACGGAACAGCTGTAAGCTTCTGGGGCTTCCTTGTACAGTTGCGAGACTAGTTTGAGCTTTTCTGAAAAGGTTGTTGGGGACTTTAAGCCCTGAACCCCCAAGCATTCCTTCTCAAATCTGAATGCCCAAACATTCCTTCTTAAATGAACATTTGACCTCGTTGCTTTTCTGTTTGGCCCAATAGGAGGTAGGCCAGGTCGTTCTCGGGGTCCACGGGTACACATAAAGTATGATGGAGCATCAAATGGAGAATGAAAGGAAACTGGGAGATATGTGGAGGGATGAAGTGCCCTGTAGGCATTACATACCTAGTGCAGATCCCCATATTTTCATGTGAGCCATCATCTAAACTCCTTAGAGGGGGCTATATAAGGCATTATATAGGGGACTACTATATAGGGGTTATTAAGGGAGGTACTAGGAGTTTAGACTTCTGGCTCATGTATGGTAGGCATGTAATTCATGGTCCCTGAATGTCCTCGAGTTGGGCACCAAATCAATAGACCCACCTGTTATTATCCTAAGGAGTCCTATATGCACTCACCAGAAACCACAATCAAAGTCTACTTCATGTCGAATCTTGATGCCTTAGCTTACAGCCCGGAATGCTATGCCTTGCTTGGACATCTCTCAATTTAGTGTTAGAATCCTAGAAAGAAATTCCCGCAGTCCCCTCAGTAAATCCATACATTTTCTAATTTCCTCGGTGTTCTTTCGTGGCATTTCAGTTTTGGGAAAAAGTCATGCTCTTGCGTGGCGGCAACTGCTGTCTTCAAAAACCCTCACTCATCCCCGCACTAGGGTCTAGCGGATATCCCGATTCTGTACACCCCTCAACCCTTAACCTGAAGCTGTAAGCCTTAAACTCTGGACCATAACTTCAAACCTTGAAACCCTAGACCCTTAAATCCCTAAACCTTAAACCCCAAGCCCCAAACCATAAACCCTGAATCTCTAACTCCCAAACCCCAAACCCAAAACCCCTTAATTCTTACATCCCTCAACCCTAAACCCTAAACCCTAAACCCTCAACCCAGGACTACTTCGAGCGAGCCTGGCTCCCCTTTTCGTACCACAGCCTCGCTGCCATCACGTTAGCTGTGTTTTGGACCACGTTTATTATTGGGGTTGTATAGGGGTTATATTGGGATAATGGAAAAGAAAATGGAAGCTACCATAATGGGTTATAAAGGGATTATAGGGTCTTGGGGATCAGGGTTCAGGGTTTAAGGGGTTCAGGGTTAAGGGAGTTGGGTTTAGAGTTTAGGGATTTGGGTTTAGGGGTTTAGGGTTTAGGGTTCAGGGTTTGGGTCTGCTCGGGGTTCAGAGTTTATGATTTTTGCGGCTTTTAGTGTTTTTGGTGCCTTTTTTTTTCCCGGGTTTTGAGGGTTTCAGGGGTTCGACTTGGGATGGCCGATAGGGGTGTGGAGCTTGAACTCCATCTCTGAATAGCTACTCATGTTTCCTGCAGACGAGAATGAGTGATTCAACTTGCATGGGAGTTTCCCCAAACATTCTCTACAATAAGGTTTTATTTTTGGTGTGATATCCCCGCGCAGGGCACCCCTAGTTTGAGAACCCTCACCATCTGAGAATCATGAGTTTAAAGTTTCGAGTTGAGGGATCCAGGTTTCGTCGACCTACGTCCTCTTCTTCAGTGGATTATCTGTGGGGCAGAAGCAGTATGCCCTGGGAGTTTTCTCTGAGCCGCTCGCTTGGGCCTTCAGACAACTTTCGCTAAACCACAAATCCTAAGGACCAGCACAAATAGGCATGATACTACTGTAGCGATAAATTGTGCAAAGCCTTGCCGCTTTTTCAATGAAACAGCAGGCGGAAGACCTAAGCCCTAAGAACCACGCAGGCTGCTGGTTCCTTTCATGAATCCAAAGACTACTTCTGGCTTCCGTGCCATTCTTTTTGATTGGGACTTCTACTGGAATTGGACTCTTGGTTGCAACCGGAAGGATCTTGCAACCCCAAACCCTACACCATAAACCCTACACTACCCTGAAACCGAGCACTCTAAAACCTGGAACCTAGACCGGAAGTATCTCCCTGCCCTTGGTCAGTCCAAAGGGCTTCAACAAGCAAATAGAATGTGAGTCTTGCCAACGGTACAGATGGGATTTGCAAGAATGAGGATCTGCTTTACCCTATAATGTATAGCAAATCCTTGTGATCAACCCCCTGAACGCGGACCCATTTCAGCGGGAATTGCAGGGGTGTGAAGAGATTCATCCGTCTTCTCAACCTTTGTGAGGCTTGGTCATACATTCATAGAATCGAGTGTTCTAAAATTGTAACCCGGAACCCTAAAGGCTGTAAAAGCTGTCCCCAAATGGCCCAATGATGCCCCTTGTAGTTTGAAAAAGTCTAAGTTGATAGATTTCATCACTAAGGGGCCCCAATATGAACACCCCCACAACTATGATCCTTATTTCTGGGAGCCTACCTGGTATCCCTGACTTTCGAAAACCTCCATTTCCCCTGGAGATTCTGTTCAAGAAAGGTTAGCCGCGACAGCAACTTGGGGGGCACAGCCCTGAAAGGCAAACCCTGCTACAGGGTGTAGGGTTTAGGGTTTAGGACTTAGGGTTTAGGGTTTAGGGTTTAGGATTTTGGAGCTAGGGTTTAGGATTTAGGAATAAGGGCCTTGAACCCCCCGAAAACAATAAATGATCAAAACCACAATAAACCCTCGAGACCCCTAGCGCCCTAAATCTTACCTAGACCTCCCCAATGCCCATACTAGTAGCATATGAGTTATAGTCATAGTCATCCCTCCTAGTATCCCCCGCTATATATTCATATAACCACCTTTAAGGAGTTTAGACCCTAACCCTAACCCTAAACCTCTATACGACCCTGTCTAAGGAGTTTAGATTATTGCCCAGATCGTAGCGTCCAAGGTTAGTAGTTGTTTAGGTATTTGGCAAGTCCAGGCCGCAACTCTAAATCCTCAAGTCTGAGACCCCGAATCCTAAACCCGAAGCCCTATACCCTAAAGCCAAAACCCAAATCCCAACCCTGAATCCTAAATCCTAAATCCTAAACCCAAAACCCTACACCCTAAGGCCTACACCCCAAACCTTTAAAGGAATGGAGTTGCCATGAGCGGCTTCTGGTTAGTTCTTCTGGCTGTCCTGCTCGCCATTCCTTCTCTTGGTTTGCTCCCCTGGAGCCGTGAGTCTGTTCAGAGGTGCTTGGGAAACCCTAAGCCCTAAACCATCTGAGCCATAGTCTAAACTCCTAGTATCCCCCTTCATAACCTTTATAATACTCCCCCATATAAACCCCTATATATCCCTAGACCCGAGACCCTAAACCCTAAATTCTTAACCCTAAACCCAT